TAACAGATTCTGGTAACATTTTAGAGGATATGGACAAAATTTTACAGGAGGAGGCAAATTTCTTTAGTAATCTGTATAAATCAAAAACAGAGACACAGTATATTGATAAATTAGATTTCTTTAAACATACAATTAGGTTGAGTGAAGGACAGAAAAGCAGTTGTGAGGGATTACTTAAGTTAGATGAATTAGCTCTAGAAAACATGGAAAATAAGAAAAGTCCTGGTTCAGATGGGTTTTGGGCAGAATTTTACAAATTTTTTTGGTGTGATTCAGAAATTCTTCTTCGAAGAACTATACATATGAAAATGGGAAACATTAAGATTTTCAATGTCAAGGTATTATTACATGTTTGCCAAAACAGGGAAGGGATAGAAGATACATAAAAAATTGGAGACCAATATCATTACTGAATGTAGATTACAAAATAGCAGCAGCAGCCATAGCCAACAGGATTACGCCACTGCTACCTGATATTGTTAGTAATACACAAACTGGATTTATTAAGGGTAGGTTTATTGGGGAAAATACAAGACAGCTGTATGATATAATGCAAATTTTAGAAGAAAAAAACAAGCCTGGACTACTCTACCTAATCGATTTTGAAAAAAGACATTTGACTCGATAGAATGGGATTTCATTGATAAAGCCATGGAAAGTTTCAATTTTGGAGAATCAATCAGAAAATGGTTTAAAGTGTTATACAATGATTCGAAAAGGTCCATAATTAACAATGGTCATTTGTCAAACTTCTTCAGTCTTCGTTGCAGCTGTCTATTTAAAATCGGCATAGCACCATATCATTCATACTCATTTTGTAATAGGGAAGAAGAAACAATGAAACATATTCTGTACAATTGTTATTATTGTTACAGGAATTCACTATATGGTATACGGAAAATGACAATGTTCAAAATCATTTTATTCTGAGTACCACTAATGCAATATTTGGTATTGCAACATTCAGTGGAAGATTAAACCATTTCGTGTTAATGTTGAGATATCATATTTTTACCTGTAAATATAGAAACAAATTACCAACATTTCAATCATGTAAATTGTATTTCACTCAGGTTTCGAAAAATAGAAAAAGATATTGCTAAAAAAGAATAACTTAGAAATCAAAAAAAAAAAAAAAACAAAGAAAAGTAGGAAATATTTACTGGAATCTTGAACAGTTAGGAAACCGAAATGCAATGTAATTATAAACACTTCCCCTTTATGTTAATTTTCAGCATACCAACAGGTTACACAATATGAACAAAATAATAATAAGTTTTTATAGTCATTAGTTTGTGCTGATGCCCAAGGAAGGGGGGGGGGGGGATCTAATCCGATCCATTTACAGCCAAACGCTTTGTAAAGCAAAATTAGAATGTTATTTATGTTAGAGAATGAATAAAAGGTTCGCAAATGTGTATGATAAAGAGAATGTATACATAACATGTAAAACAGGTATGAGTGAGAGTGAAAAAATGAGGCAAATAATGAAAGGTAAGAGTTGCATGCATATATTATATATATATTACATACTTGTGCAACTTGATAAACCTGTTTACAAAGTGATATTAATTGTAAACAAAACAAGACATGTAGGGCAACAGTCTGAGAAAGTAGAAAGAATATATGAAACACGAAGGTTGATTGCAGTGAGTATGTGTAGAGGTGTTTGTGTATGTGGTGAGAGGAAGCCCTGCTTTGTGGGGACATGTATTGTTCAGAGTCTGACCCCCAGGGCCCCAACCGTGACAGAGCTCTCTGTAATTAAGTTCTGGGACATTAAAAAAGGGATAAAACTAACACAGCAATGTTAGGTGTTTCAAAATAGTGTACCTTACTTTGTCATTAACAAAAATGGGGTAATGTGCAAGCATAGTCATGCTTCTAACTTTATATGAAATGTTTTATAGCCTGTTAGAAAGACTGAAAATCAACCTTCTAAAAGATATTGTCAGACAGGTAATCAACCATTCTCTAGTTTAAAAGTAATGATAAAATACACAGTTTCCGTTTTGTTTATGTATCTAATGACCTCTGTGTCAAGGATGTTTATGTAACTAATGACCTCAGCGTCAAGGATGTTTATGTAACTTATAACCTCTATGTCAAGGATGTTTATGTATCTAATGACCTCTATGTCAAGGATGTTTATGTATCTAATGACCTTTATGTCAAGGATGTTTATGTATCTAATGACCTCTATGTCAAGGATGTTTATGTAACTAATGACCTCTGAGTCAAGGATGTTTATGTATCTAATGACCTCTGTGTCAAGGATGTTTATGTACCTTATGACCTCTATGTCAAGGATGTTTATGTATCTAATGACCTCTGTGTCAAAGATGTTTAGGTATCTAATGACCTCTATGTCAAGGATGTTTATGTAATTTATGACCTCTATGTCAAGGATGTTTATGTATCTAATGACCTCTGTGTCAAAGATGTTTATGTATCTAATGACCTCTGTGTCAAGGATGTTTATGTATCTAATGACCTCTGTGTCAAGGATGTTTATGTAACTAGTGACCTCTGCGTCAAGGATGTTTATGTAACTAATGACCTCTGCGTCAAGGATGTTTATGTATCTAATGACCTCTATGTCAAGGATGTTTATGTAACTAATGACCTCTGTTTTGTGGTTGACATTCCTTAATTATATTTACATGGTACTATATTAATTTTATCGAAATGTCATCCCTGTAAACATACTTACAATCACAGTTGTATTTTCTTGTCGGTAATAACATCTCTCCATTCGGCAGTATTCTCTCGAAAACTCTACTGATTAATATCATTATCTTGTCAGTAAACACTTTTTTTGATATTTGGTCAGTATTTCAAAATGTGGTTTTCAAACAATATAATTACTGATTTTCTAATTATTGTAAAAAGTTCCTAAATCTAAACATGCTTACAACAGGTAGTGCTCGCATATGATACGTAAATTGTCATGAAGCGTTCATCCTCGTCTTAGGAACATCTATTAAAAAGTACAGATTACAGCTAATGATAGAGGAAATATATGAACGCGCCTAGGATCACTTTTCTGTGAATCTTATGACCTCTGGGGCAAGCATGTTTATGTAAGTAATGACCTCTGTGTGAAGGAAGTATTATCTAATGACCTCTGTGTGAAGGATGTTTATGTATCTAATGACCTCTGTGTGAAGGAGGTTTACGTAACTAATGACCTCTGTGTCAAGGATGTTTATATATCTAATGACCTCTGTGTCAAGGATGTTTATGTATCTAATGACCTCTGCGTCAAGGATGTTTATGTATCTAATGACCTCTATGTGAAGATTGTTTATGTATCTAATGACCTCTGTGTGAAGGATGTTTATGTATCTAATGACCTCTGCGTCAAAGATGTTTATGAATCTTATGACCTCTGGGGCAAGCATGTTTATGTAAGTAATGACCTCTGTGTGAAGGAAGTATTATCTAATGACCTCTGTGTGAAGGATGTTTATGTATCTAATGACCTCTGTGTGAAGGAGGTTTACGTAACTAATGACCTCTGTGTCAAGGATGTTTATATATCTAATGACCTCTGTGTCAAGGATGTTTATGTATCTAATGACCTCTGCGTCAAGGATGTTTATGTATCTAATGACCTCTATGTGAAGATTGTTTATGTATCTAATGACCTCTGTGTGAAGGATGTTTATGTATCTAATGACCTCTGCGTCAAAGATGTTTATGAATCTTATGACCTCTGTGTCAAGGATGTTTATGTAAGTAATGACCTATGTGTGAAGGATGTTTATGTATCTAATGACCTCTGTGTCAAGGATGTTTATGTATCTAATGACCTCTGTGTCAAGGATGTTTATGTAACTTAAGACCTCTGCGTCAAGGATGTTTATGTAACTAATGACCTCTGCGTCAAGGATGTTTATGTGTCTAATGACTTCTATGTCAAGGATGTTTATGTTACTTATGACCTCTGTTTCAAGGATGTTTATGTATCTAATGACCTTTATGTCAAGGATGTTTATGTATCTAATGACCTCTATGTCAAGGATGTTTATGTAACTAATGACCTCTGCGTCAAGGATGTTTATGTATCTAATGACCTCTGTGTCAAGGATGTTTATGTATCTAATGACCTCTGTGTCAAGGATGTTTATGTAACTTATGACCTCTCTGTCAAGGATGTTTATGTATCTAATGACCTCTATGTCAAGGATGTTTATGTATCTAATGACCTCTGCGTCAAGGATGTTTATGTATCTAATGACATCTGTGTCAAGGATGTTTATGTAACTTATGACCTCTGTTTCAAGGATGTTTATGTATCTAATGACCTCTATGTCAAGGATGTTTATGTAATTTATGACCTCTATGTCAAGGATGTTTATGTATCTAATGACCTCTGTGTCAAAGATGTTTAGGTATCTAATGACCTCTGTGTCAAGGATGTTTATGTATCTAATGACCTCTGTGTCAAGGATGTTTATGTAACTAATGACCTCTGCGTCAAGGATGTTTATGTAACTAATGACCTCTGTGTCAAGGATGTTTATGTATCTAATGTCCTCTATGTCAAGGATGTTTATGTAACTAATGACCTCTGTTTTGTGGTTGACATTCCTTAATTATATTTACATGGTACTATATTAATTTTATCGAAATGTCATCCCTGTAAACATACTTACAATCACAGTTGTATTTTCTTGTCGGTAATAACATCTCTCCATTCGGCAGTATTCTCTCGAAAACTCTACTGATTAATATCATTATCTTGACAGTGTATACTTTTTTTGATATTTGGTCAGTATTTCAAAATGTGGTTTTCAAACAATATAATTACTGATTTTCTAATTATTGTAAAAAGTTCCTAAATCTAAACATGCTTACAACAGGTAGTGCTCGCATATGATACGTAAATTGTCATGAAGCGTTCATCCTCGTCTTAGGAACATCTATTAAAAAGTACAGATTACAGCTAATGATAGAGGAAATATATGAACGCGCCTAGGATCACTTTTCTGTCACTATTTGTATTCAATTTCGCATACGAAATTGTTTGAATGTGAACACGGAAGGTCAATAAGATAGTTGTTAAAAATTGCAACACAATCTTCATCCAAATGCAAACCGTTCGGTTCATCCAACATCCAATTCGTTACGCTAGTACCTGTACTCCATGTGAAAAGTCCATCACTTTGTTCATCCATTGCACCAACATAGCAGAATATATCAGCTGCAAGTATGAAGAACATTACAAAAATCATTATATTAAGATTGAGACATTGAGCTATTAATAAGACAATGCATACATTGTGCTCTTGCAAAGTATTTGAGAATGTATATTTAAATCTTTTTGCTGTCTGACATATTTCGTTTATTATATATTATTTGCTTAAGTTGGAAAAAAGGGTTAGTCTAAATTCTGTTGGTTTTGAATGAAATATGCAAGTGATTTTTTCCGTTTTTTTCCCCAACTGTTTTTCGTGTATTTTAAAGTCGCGGAGTACACTAATTTTCAGATGTTAATGGATATGTAGCAGTGTAATACTCGCGCAATCACATGAGTATTAAACATATAGAACACAACTTTATTAAAACTCAATGCATGTTTGTATGAATATGACAAAGTGTATTTAGCATGCTATGTTTTCTTTCTACGACTTCATTTATATATACGTAATTTATAATAAAAAACTCAATTCTACTGCTCATAAGCAATATCATATGCTATTGAATATTGTATAGATACGTACGTCTATAGTCAGGTAGTCCTGTGACGTAGCTCAGCTTGTCAGATGTATCGAGGACTGCCAGCCTTGCTCCATGGTTACCACACACCGATTCCGCTTCAGCGTGAGTGTGTGATGTATTAACAAAGAGCCTAATATACCATCCCAATTGCGCATCAAAGATAAAGCCATCAAATTTACCTAAAATGAATGATGCACGAGCATTGATCGATACATAAATGTAACAAAGCTTTCGACGAAGTTTGTTTTGTTTCTTTTATTGATCCTTCATATACATGATTATAATGACTTCCACTTACTCATTGTTTTCTACCTTTATCGATGTCAGTGTGAAAGACTCATGTTCAATATAGCTGTCCTAAATCCTTTCATTCACAAAATTGCGATGGACATGAAATCTACGCACGTGAAACACTGATGTATAGCTTTGTTTATCTTCCGAATAAGTCGCAATTGGATAAAGTCATCATACAGGGATATATTAATAAAAGCATAGGGTTTCGTAGCTGAGTCGGAAAAACATTGGATTGTCATGTGTATGATTACTTAACACCATTCTTAGTGCTATCAAATCAGGGTTACAGTTTCATTGTCTCACTGTGTATCTGTTCTAAGTATATATACAAGAGAATTGTTTTTTCACTATATCTGTACTCTATCTTATACCAACCCGAACTGAAAGCAAGCCTCCACTCTCTTGTTGTAAGAGCTATCTTTTCACAAAAGGGTGAACGTTTGTAAAAATATATGGTTGTGATCTATACTGCAGTAGATCTTCACAACTATATATTATATGCAAAGAAGAGATATACAGCGCGCGATAACCAATGATAGACTATCTAGTTGACCATATCTTTATCGTGTTTGGTGGTAAGATCACCCAACAGACTAATGACTTGGCTATGAAGTTTTGGCTGACTTATAAGTGTGTTCAGATGAGACTGTATTCTTTGATGAGCTTATTAAAACAAGTCACAAATACCTTCAAATTCACTCAGCCGCTTACCTTATTCTTTTCCTACAACGGTTTTCCTAGATGTAGTTTTGAGCTACAAATGGAGGCAGATCCACCACTTATGCATAATTAGTTCATTCATGCCTAATTGTGCTTCTAACATTTATCGAAATAAAATTTTGTTTTCAGTAGTTGTCAATAGAGGTCTGACGAAACATTTTTCGGACAGATAGACGGACCAGATGAACCAATATATCAAGCCAATTTTAAACAATACAGCATAAGAATAATCCCAGGCTGATATCAAAGATACATAGAAAACAATGAGTTTTCAAATATACTTTCTTCTTTTTTTTTCTACAGTGCAAATATAACTAATTTTGTTTTAAAATCGATTAAATAAGAAAGAAAATGGAGAAGGTACTGAATTATGATTTTAAATAAATAGATCGATAAATGAAGGGCATGGTTACATGAATTAAACAATATTTATTATTATCGAGTTGTCATGATTATTACACATTTCAAAATAATTAGCAAAACCATGTTTGAATGATCATTAAGAAATCGCAAATATGTCTGTTTCCTTTTAAGAAAACATAAGAGTAAAACAAGAAACAAACCAAAAAACATAAAGAATGCCATAATCTGGAATGTGCTCAGGGCTTAAGGGTCGAAAACGATTTCGCTTATGTATCTCTCTGGATACAAAAATATACATTGTATCAATGCTTTAAAGCTACTTACGCCTCCATAGCATATTTCCTAATTGCGACGTGAAACTAGTAGTATTGTTTATACAATTGCATTCTTTGGTGCTGTTGTTGTATGTTGCTGCCGTGCAATCTATTGCGTTGGAACAGGCTGCGGTACATGTGATCAGGGAAGCCAGGGTAGTCGTTAAAGATGAATTATACAGCCGATTGGCTTCACTCTTGTCCTCTACCCAATTGTACCTTCGGATAGAGGTGCCGAACACTGAAATTTTGAAGATATATATCTTGAAATCAGATTACGGAGGTTAATATCCTCCGAGATGAAACAAATCGGTTTCAAGTTGATATTATGTATACCTTTTCTATTCTTTTAGTTGTCTGACCAGGCGTATTTCAACTTCTGTTGATTTTGCGCATGTATCGTTGCATAAAGAAAACCTTATCATTATATGTAGCAAGAGTATATTTTTGACATTTTAAACTTGTCAGGACTGTTATATGATATAATATAATATATGTGATGTAATGAGAGCATGGTTAAAAACAACGGAACCAACAGCATCAAACATGTCCGACTTCATATCGCATAAGAAAGAAAAAAATCCCAATAAAATCATATTGAGCACTGCAGAATTTCCCTCATTTTCATCAACCTGCATTTCTCGAAACCCTATGTTGTGTGCCTGCAGATAAGTCTGCAGATTTTATCACATTTCCAGTAAAAAATAGGCCTGCTTGATGACGAAGGAAATCTCAACTACACATTACGCAATGAACTTGCTTAAATATGTTTTGTTATTACAATCATTAAGATTACAGTCTTATGATGATAAATATATTGACATCTTCCGTTGATATGTGATTCCTTTAAAAAAATATCGACAACATTTTCTTGCTGGCTCGTCGAGCTGTTCTAAGAAACCTTTGTCAAACCCATTAAATACATACCATTCTTAACAATTTCAATAATCTTGGTTACAGTGAACTATTAAAAGTTAATATGCGAGTTACTTAAATTATCAAAAATTATGTCCAGTTAGACATATGTGAGATTTTTAATCATAATTTTAATGCCAGATTGAGACCAGCTTAATTCATTAATGACATCTTTCGACCAGTGAAAAAATATGTATTGACAGTAGTCAGAGTAGTAATCTACAACATTTGGTCAATGTTATTAATTCATTCCCTGATTTTATAAGTACCCGAGCCCTATCTGGGCAGTTTGCATGCAGGTCAGTGAATACTTCTGTTGTGGAAAATCTACGACCATTTTCATTTATAAGTCTATGTCAATTACTCATGTATCATTCCATATCTGTTAGCCTGTAAAGTGTACTATTACTTTACCAACAGTTCTATGACAGCTTCGTATGAATCCAACCGTAGATTAAGCCAGTATGCATTGGTTCCTCAGGGCAAGTAAACGTTACCATCTCCACATAGACTACACAACAATAAATATACAACAACCCGAACATCTTCCGGACTTCATCCTTCTTACACCATTGTACAAGCTTCATCTGAACAGTCTTATTGTGATACTGGTTATTCAAAGAGTTGAATTGATATCATATGGATTTTAACTCCAAAAACCTTTCAACAGACTTTCGGCATAAATATGGGTTGACTGACTTTATCACGCAGGCAGGAAGTCGTCAAATAACGGACTAACTCGTAACACAAGGTTTCAAAAGATGCAGATTGATGCAAATTATGAGACAGTTTTACGATCTTCAAAGTGATCTCTTTGCGAAATATTATATTTTTTGTTAGATATGACACTAGATTAGTTCCCTGTAAGCTCCTTTGTTGTATGTTTTCATTTGAGAACGTGATATTACTTAGCGAATTACTTTAGAATGATGATTTTTTTATTTGATAAATAACGTTATCCACTTCAAATATCAACTATGTACACCTGAGAGTATGTTAAGAATGTTACGTTCAAGCATATGGATGACCATGCTTGAGATGGAAAGTCGTTGGCTGGTCATAATTTATTGACATGATAATGTTATTTCATTTCATGGATCACCTATAATATAGCAACTAGGTACAATGAAGCTGGTTCGATTATTACTGCCATTTAACCTTTAAACCTCTATATAGATATGTAAATAAGATCAAAGCAATTCAACTGAAAAAGAATTATGATGAAAAAAATCCATGGAAGATAACTAACTATACAATCTACTGTTTTCCACAACAGAATATGTGAATCATTTGTAGTTGTTCAGCGCAGGTACACTGTGTTTTTGATTGATTACTCCTTTATCTACAATGTCTCTTTGGTAAAATATATTGACGAAAACCAGCATCACTGCAGGAGACCTATTATTCAATATTTACATTGAACTTCCACATCTCTGAAACTAAATGTTAAAAGAAAATATCGTTTCTTTCAGTCAGAAGGAAGCAATTTTACTTTTTATGATTTTATGATAAATGTAACTGTATACACACTGTAACATATACCATAGGTTAATTCTACATAATTTACAAGGATACAGTAGCAATAAAACATACTTACCAAGTTGGTGTCCGATAATTGATATAAATATGAAAAATCTCCGTGTTATGATCATGTTTTGTATCTCACACGTCGGAAAATAATTGAGACTCCTCAGCAGGAATTGAAAACTTTATTCATATAGTCATTGATCACGTTTTACCGACGTATCAACATGTTATGCTTGAAGTGATTAATCAATATCCAGTAGAACTATGCGTCGATATTTTTGTGGCGAAAAGAATAAATATTTACTTTGATTCAGTGGCATTTATTTACGTTACCTCTTATTGTTTACATTGCATCATCTTTGTTTTCAAACTTTAAAAGGACTTTTTTAAAAAAATGTTTTGATTGTCACTAATTTTGTTTTGTGCTATTTGGGTATTAACTGGTTTTCGAAAGCCTCAATCAGAGGATAGGATCAATTAATTTCTTTAATCTTTGCAAAAGGTCAAAACAAAACAGAAATAATCCTACCGTGTATACATTTGTGATAATAACTTAAATACAAAAGGTAAGTATTAATTCATATTGCGCCGAATATAAAAGGATACTAGAAACTGGTAAAAGCATGAATATCCTAAGTGTCGTTTGTGTTCCACCCAATGCAGAACTTGTACATTAACTCATTTGGTAATATGAGGTTATATAAACACTTCATACGGTCATATGATAAACAAATGGTTGTGGTGTGACAATGCTATCAATGAAATTGTAAACCTCAAGTTCATTTCATAACTGGATACAAAGCATGCACAACATTACTTGTACAAAACCATACCACGATGTTTATGATTTCTGAATGATCAGACACTGCATTACGAGTAAAAGCACATGTATCACCATACAAACAACATCATTATTCTCGAAACTTTCCCAACACGCATTAATGCATAATTGCTAAATTGACTGCAACACAAATATGAAATGCGCATTAGACAATTATCAAGCCCAATTTAGGGTAAGACAAAAAGACTAATCTTTACCTCATACCAGGCATTGTTTCTTTTCTTAATACCTGCTTATATTGATATGAGATTGGGATAACTTGGTATCTCATTGAAGTATCTTATATTCTAAATGACATCCATTACAATGCCTACCTTAAAGAAACAGACATCATCACAATCAGCAATTAGGAGAAGATATTTTCTATCCATTGAGAACAAAGAAATATCAGGACCATTCATTTTTATTGGATCCTTAAATCGTATTATGAGTCATAACGCACTGATGTACAACTGATGAATTCACGAAAAATCTGTATTATTTAGAAATCTACAACTTTCATTTTCATATTATTGATGCTCTATACCTTAATATAGGATACATCAAAGTAACCGACTGAAAGAGCATTTATAAGAACAATACAAAGGTATTAAAATGAAATATCACCAAACGTTATCAGTGAAAAAGCAATATATATGTTACCTTTGTCTAGGTGTGATGGTTATCTCTTAGCTAAAGTAGATGATTCCTGATCAGCATTGTTATTTGTAATATACATAGAAATAACCGCAACACATTAGGATTATTGGTTTTTTCAACGCCTCGAATAAAATTATGTTTTTTTTTTTTTAATAAATCACTATCCCAAATTTAAAGCCAATACCACATTTATGTCTACTGTACGTTACAAGCATGTTACTTTAAAAGACATATTCAAGATAATAAGATGTAGACTCGCGTTGTCATTCAAGTTAACGTATGGTCAACAGTACCAGTTTTTACTTTCCACTCTTAACGGAAAACGAATTTATTAACATTATAATGTGGTACAAAATGTAGACATATCAATATTTGGGAATAGCAAGATACAAATCAAATATAATGGTAAACGAAGGAAATTATTTTCAATTCGGATGCACTAACCTTATTGAATTTATGTTCCAAGTGCTGTAATTCTTTAGTGAATGAAAAGGAGAAAATGTGGTTGTTTTTTATTTATCTATTTTGTTTTTGCGATTTAGATATCTTAGAAATCGTATATGTTTATTTGCACATTATCAGTAAGAAAACTGATATATTTTCAACATCTTTTTGATCAGTGAAATGTGCCTGTCCCCTACAATTGCCCTGTCCCTAATGGATATCGCGAAACAAACACAATAACATTGAAATTACTCCTATTGTGATCCTATATACTAACATCACTGTGATATATGGAGTAGGAAATCAATAGGCAATCAATATGTATTGATTTATTTATCAGCTATCATTCAAACATTTAGTGGGTAGATTTTATCTCTAAAGCGTTATGAAAATATGTTATCTTATATCTGACTAACCCAGCAATATTTCTACACAGAAGGCTGAAGGCCGAGATGAGTTACTTTTCAAGGGTGCCTAAACTAGTCAAATATCGTTGAATTTTATGGCATTCCTTATAGATTATCTGCAGTGTTAGTGCTGGATAGTTTAAAAATATTGACTCCAAACGGCTTTCGGTAGATTAATATGTGGTAGGTTATCACCGTTTTCGGAAGTGATATCACTTTTATGCAAAATAGAAAAAGGTAATTATTGGGCAATTAGAAAAGAGCAAAACAATTTGTAATACATGTACATGTAACTGTGATTTCACATGAATATCTCTGACGGTTCAAGCAATATGCAGCATGAAATATTACATTTCATTCTTACCCAACAAAATGTATCCATATCATTTCATAAGAAGTTAAAAATAAAATTCTGATGGGTACAAACGTGCGCATTATTTCCATATACCAAAACATTCATGAAACGCA